TATTAAAAATACCACACTTGAAGATGTTTACAATTTCTGATTGAAGTTAGTATATCACGATACATTAAAATTTATGCATTAACTACACTATAACTACACTATAACGTAAAACAATTCATAAAAATGTTCTTCAATGACTCATGAAACGCAAAAAAATACATTCATTCTTTCTAAGATTAATATATTTAATGAAAATGCTGCTTTTTTAAACATACCTGAAAAGATGACGATAGCCGTAAGCAAAGCATATTCAGCATTATTAACTCTCATAGCATACATTTGCCGACAGAATCGTAAAAGATCTTCGATATTTTCACCCATTCCAGCGACATTATAACTGTCACGGGTGTAGGACTGATTATTAGCAAAAATGATGCTATCGCTTTGTACATCATACTTTCTTGCCATTCGTAACATCATCACCTCACTGGAGCATGCTTTCAGTAGAGTGATTTGATCTTCACGTAATAACTCGTTAAAACCGGGTAATCTCTTCGAAAATTCGACGATCAATTGAACAGTTAGAATCGTGATTTCAGTGATGTGCCTGAAACTATAATCACTCGCATCCTCACCTTCCATTGGTTGATTCTGAAAAAATAAAAAGTATCTTGCAAAATTATTCTTATATTAAAAGCTAAACATAAAATTATATACGTATTTGTTAATAATAAATCCGGAGATTACAAGAGAATAATATGTTCTTCACTAAAATCTTATTTACTGACTAAAAACTAATTTACGTTTCCCAGATTTAACGTCTATGAATTTTTATTTGTGGGGAAAATTAAAACAACAAGTGTACAGCGAAATATCATTAACTAGAGAAGACATGAAGGAGCATACAAGACAAGCTTGCGATTGAAATTGAAATTCGTCGTGCAGAATTCTCTGTATTCACATGCTTTAGAAAATGTATCGATGCTCAAGATTATCATTTGAACACTTGTTATAACAATAAGTATGCAAATAAATAAATTAGTGAAATATTCGAAGAATGCCCTAAAACAATTTATTTTCTATTACAATTGACTTTGTGTAATCTGAATGACCTTCAATTATAAGTCATTGTATTTGTCTTGAAACGTTCTATCAGAATATAAAGATAAGAACATCATTCCATTTACAAAAAAAAAAAAAAAAAAAAAAAATAAGAATTTGACCTTTATTATATCCTCTACACGCCTCTATCTATAAAAAAAATTATTGATATTACATTTGTCCCTCAAGATCAAGCAACTTTTGTTTGACACTTTTCTTTCTATTTAAGAAAGCTTGTTAAAAGCAAGCGACTTATTCAAATAGCTTAGATGCCTCATCCTGTATATGTAAATAAGTTTTTTTTGCATTTTACTGATTTATTCTTTACTATTGTTGTATTTTACTGATTTATTCTTTCTATATTATCTGCTTTATTATTTATTAATTGTACTTTCAAGTTGTAATAATTGTAAGTTTAACATTTTTATATATTTTTAAAAATAAAATATTTAAGCGTGTTTTTTATATGTATATTTTTATACATATATTGATAAGATAAATAATAATTCAGAATGAAAATTTGTGATAAAATATATGAAAAAAATATTACATACTGTAATTCTTTTCAAATCCTCTTCACTCGGTTGTTCAAATTCGCATTGAAAAGATACCAGCCTAGTTATCAATTCTTCCTGTTCAGGACTAATGGGCTTAATATAGGTGTAAGAGCTGACAGGAGTAAGAATGCTGCTACTTCCAGACATGGACAATGACTCAGCTTCTGCTGGTTCAATTTTGACGCCCATTTGATCGCCCATTCCTGCACTGCCTGGTGATCCATTCATTGTCGTACTGTTCGGTTTGTCCTTTTCCTATAGAAACACATATAAAAAAAAAATATATATATATATATATAAATTTAATAAACAAAAGGTTCATAAATTTAAAAATATGTCAATCTGTAATCATTTATTAAATTTTAATTTCCAAGCTTGAAGTGTTTATTTTTATAACTTATCTTAAGTTTATATTTAAAAAATAATTATTGTATACATACATACATTATAATATATACTGCAAGTTTTTATTTTAATAAAAGTGCGATAAAAAATAAGGATAAAAAAACTTTATGCAATATAATTTTTACAATAGAATACACATAATTTAATTATCTAAAATTATTTTAAATACATATATAAACACATATTCATGTGTATAAACGTATGTATGCATACAAAGTAAAATTGCAAAAATATTCTTTTATATCTATTCTTTTATATAAAATCAGATTTTAATAAAAGAATATTAAATAAAACTTATTTAATTTAAAACAAAAATATAAAAATTTGTATCTACTCTAATAGCACGGATGCGTTCTGAGAACGTATTGAGTAAATCGCATTGCGTTTATTACAATTATCTCAGAACATTCTCATACGTATTGCGATCGACTAAGTACGTTCTGAATACATCCCCATGTCCGGAGCTATAATGTTTCAGAACCGATGTCTGGATATGTGGCTATGTCTGAAGCATTGATAATATTTATATGATTTTATCAATATGTCATTATTTCTTAAGTCAGAGACTACTGTTGGAATGTATATAATATATATTATATACATATACAGGATTCTTCAAAAGCATGGAAACAGTTAAATATGCAAAGAAAATATATAGTTACTGTTTAAAAAAAAATTGAAATTTGCAATATGCAACAATGTATTATTTTTGGAAAACAACTATGTATTTTCTTTAATTGATTCATCCCATAAATCTATGCATAAAATTATTAAGATAATTGCCAAAAAATGAATAGTTTACGAGATATTTTATACTTATGTCAAATTGCATGTCAAATTCAAGCCTCATAACTCAGAAAGTACTTACTAAAAAAATATTTTATTATAGTGTTTTGCAGAGCTTTCAAGGTCAGCCACAAGAATGTGTAATAAACAATGGGTGTTTCCATTTAAAAACAAAAGTTGACTTTTAAATGACTTTCTCAAAAAGGACATCTGTGACAAAGGCAAGATCACCATCGGATGTCCTCCTCTGAACTCTACAACTTTTGGTCAAAATGTTTTTCTCTAAACCGTTGTTCTAAAAAGCTATTTCAATAAGTCTTTTAAAATGGGACACCTTGTATATTTAATCATCTAGAAATTGTTTACAAAAACTTAAGGACATAATTTTATTAAATTTTCTGATAACTAAAGCTTCTGAAAGCTAGTCTTTGATTGATAAAATCCTTTTATCTTGTTAAGATTTTTTTATTGTTATGTGATTATTTCATACGATTACGAAGTTGTATGGCGCCAATTTTTCATATCACATCTTTTGTACAAGGGGTAAAATTAATAATTTTCTGAAATTTTTTTATAAATTTTATAAATAAAATGTTTTGTAAAGAAACAAAGTCAAATATTATGACTGCAAATTGGTGTCATATTTTGATATTACATCTTTTGTAAAAATAAAATGTTTTATTCTTTGATACGGAAATATTTTCCTATAAAATATATCTTTGCAAATAAATTTACTTTTACAAATAACGAGGGGATGCGAGAATTTGCGTATTATTTTTTTACCTCTTTTAAAAAAGTAATTTTGTATAGCGTCATATTCAAGATTATTACTATCTTTTTGTTATAATTATTTTGGACTTAAAGTTAATTTTTAGAAAATGTAATTAAAAAATGTAATTAATAAAATTCAGTCTAATAACCATCTATACTGGACAACTTTTCCGACTGTGCACTTTACGTGAAAATTTTCAATGTTAAATTTTTTGTAATATAAAAATTTTTGCTAAAAAATAATATATT